ACAATGTGACAGGATCATGGAGTTCAGATACAGATGGGACGCCTCAGTGGTGAGTGACCCCCGAATGTATCTGAAGTTGGCCAAATTAAACTTAAGAGTGTTATGGAGTTTCTTTACATGATGTTTGAAGGTCATGTTTCGATCCAGGGTCACTCCTAAATATGAGAATACATCAACATTTTTAATTTTACTGGCATTAATAAAAATATCTGGACAACTGATATGCTTACCTCGGTTTGTGAAATACATTGAAACGGTTTTGTCTGTGTTTAATGTCAGACAGTTTTGACACAGCCAGTCAGCAACATTTTTCATTTAATTTGTTAATTTTGTGGCCACATCACTTTTGTTTTTGCCATGAACAAACAACACTGTGTCGTCAGCATACATGATGACATTTGCAGTGCAGACAGAGGGGAGGTCATTTATATAAATGCTAAAAAGCAGAGGCCCCAAAATGGAGCCCTGCGGCACTCCCATGGTGTAGTTTTTGAGTGGAGAGAGGGTGTTGTTCACTCTCACACTCTGCTGTCTGCCACTGAGGTATGACTTCAGCCAGTTTACTGTCTGGTTAGAGAGGTGGAAATGAGTGAGTTTGTTCAGGAGGATGTCATGACTGACTGTGTCAAAAGCTTTTCGGAGGTCGAGGAACACCGCCCCCACCACTCCTCCTTGATCAAGGCTAGATCTAATCTCTTCAGTGAAGTAGCAGCAGGCGGCTTCTGTGGAGTTTTTGCTTCTAAAACCAAATTGTAGAGGGTTTAAGAAGCAATGGCTGTCAAAGTGTTCAATAAGCTGCTCTGCTACAACCTTTTCAAAGACTTTGGAGATAGTGGGTAGGATGCTAATGGGGCGGTAGTTGCTTTTCCTGTTTGTCCCCAGACTTGTACACAGGCGTGACAATGCCAGGTTTCAACGCAGCCGGAAATGTACTGTTACTTATTGACTGGTTTATAGTTTTTGCCAGAGGTAGGCATAGAGTGTCCTTATGTCTTTTTAAAAACAAACTGTCCATCCCATAGATATCTTTTGCTTTACTATTATTTAATTTATTGATACTTTTGATAACTTTTTCTTCATTTACGAGTTTTAATTTAAAAAGGGCTTCCTCGTCGACTTAGGGTTGATTATAAAAACATGGTGCTATGAATGATTGCACCAGTTTTTGAACTGAATTAATAAAATAGTCATTAAAATGCATTGCCAAAAAAGCACTATCATTTTGAATCTCACCATTTACTTTTAGTTTCATATCACAATAAGTCCGGCGTTTGCCCAGAAGCTTATCAATATTTCTCCATAAAACTTTACTATTTCCTTTTGCTTCCTTAATTAAATTAAGAAAGAATGTGGCCTTAGCTTTTCTAATTAGTGCCGTTACTTTATTTCGAAGGCTTTTGTAGACCAGGTGGTTAGTTGATAATTTGCTTTTTATAAACATTTTCAAAGCAGCATCTCTTTTCTTCATTAATTTCCAGAGTTCAGCGTTAAACCAAGGCAGACTCTGCTTCTGTGTCGGTTTCCTTTTTTTCCTTTTTGTATATTTAAGTATAAGATTTTGTAAGGTCATCGTTAACTCACTACATGCTTGTTCACATGTCTTATTTCCAATTATGTAATTCCAGTTGGTTTTAGTTGATATCATTTTCTAAACGAGGGAGATCTTTTTGAGGTATATGAGTGAACAAATGATTATCCATGTCCTGGTGCTTGTGTCTAGATTTATTTAGTTTTCTTGCTACCAATGTGAGGTTGTGGTCAGATAGACCAGTAAGTAAATTGTATGTTTTTATTATCCTTTCGGGTTTATTTGTGAAGATGAGATCAATTAATGTTTGAGAAGTTTTGGTTACTCTTGTTGGTTTATTTATCATTTGGGTCATCTGATATGTTTTCATCATATCCTTAAGTTTTGTCTTGCATGCTGCATCATTCCAGTTTATATTGAAGTCTCCCATGAGTAAAATTTCTTTGCCATCAAACATTTTAAGCATTTCAAACAGTTCAGAGTAAAAATCATGTGTGGCTCTAGGTGGACAATAGAGAGCAATGATAACAAATGACATTTCTGGAGAGAGTGTGATATTGACTCCCACACATTCTAATTTATGTTTGGTGAGGTCTATCTCCTGACTTTGGATATAATCTTTAACATAAATCAGAACACCTCCTCCCTTTCCCTTTTCTCTATCCCGTCTGTAAACATTGTAGCCTGGGACAGAATGTGCAGACAGGGGTGAAGTGGCACATAACCAGGTTTCACTTAGACATAAATAGTCCAGGTTAGAGTCCGTTAATAGGTGTTCGATTTCCTCTGTCTTTGATAAGATACTCCGTATATTTAGGTGTCCTCCGAAGACACCTTTTGGTTTTGAGTCAGGGTTCCATAGCACGCTTGCGTGATTGACAGTTTGGAAAAGTTTGATCCGTTTCAGTGTCAGAGCCACAGGTGCTTGACGCGCGCCATGGTGCGCGCTCGCGGTTTGTACAGTCTGCAAAAAGTTTTTGGCTATGTTTTCTCGTGCATGTGAAGCGTCAGAGTGAACCATCGATACACTAGTAAGTAAGGTTTATTCATAGTAGTAAGTAAGTAAGGTTTATTCATAGTAGTAAGTAAGTAAGGTTTATTCATAGTAGTAAGTAAGTAAGGTTTATTCATAGTAGTAAGTAAGTAAGTAATATTTATTCGTAGTAGTAAATAAGTAAGTAAGTAATTGTTGTGGAATTTCTAAGGAGTGAAATACACAATATTAAATATAAAATAAACAGCAAGAGCTGTAATTCAAATCAAAGTGTGGTTTATTATCTCAGTAAATGTATACATATACAGGAAATACAACCGTGTAACCGCGTGGCAGGTCCCGGGTAGATCTGCCCTTAGTGCTCATTCTCTCTCATATTTATAGGATGGAACAAACAGAAGAGTCTATCTATGGCGTCTCTGAGTCCGAGATTAAGTGGTAGCCGTAGCCCAAACCCCCCTCTCTTCTGACGTCTTACTCTGATAGACTCTGATATTACTCTGATATTAGGAAGAATGGTCAGTCTGACCGGTGAGCATGCTCTTCTTGCCCCTGATATCAAGCTAGTATCTGCCTCCACCCCGTCATTGGCCTCGCGTCCCTACAGAACAACAGTTTAGTTATCTTGAACAGATTGACTAGCTTTGAACTTTGTTCCAGATATCCTAATTCATCATTAGATTCATTCTTAAGTTAAATTGATTTATAATCCCAGTTAGATTTCTATAACATAATCTTTATTCATAGTAGTAAGTAAGTGAGTAAGTAAGGTTTATTCATAGTAGTAAGTGAGTAAGTCATCTTTATTCATAGCAGTAAGTAAGTATGGTTTATTTATATAGCGCATTTTTACAGACCAAGGTCACCCAAAGCGCTTTACAATTGTTCATAGTTCAGATATTATTCCGCTCTCTCCACACAGTGATGACGGAAGCGAGTTGCCGAACACACTGGCGCATCAAAGCCCCAACATTCACTCACTCATTACATTCTGCATGTTTTTTAGTGGTAGGGGAAACCGGAGCACCCGGAGGAAACCTACATACCGTATACCGAAACCTTATATACCGTCTTTCACAGACCAGAGTCACAAAGCAGTTTACAATTGTTGGTATTTGTCTGTCACTCCACACAGAGATGGGGGTGAGGTGTTGTGATACGCAGGTGAGGATATAGGGCTCAATTCAATTCTGTTTAATGTATTTTTGTGTGGACCTAAATCACACCAGCAGTCGGCTGTATTTTGTAATGTATTTTTGTAGGTGTAATTTTAACCTCTTTTGCCATGTTTATTAAAGGTTTTTAAAGATATTTCTTCTGTCAAAATTTTCAACGTTGGTCCCTCCTCTGACAAGCACCATACTTTTTTCCTTACTATATTTCTTTGTTATCCAAGAAGCACACCAGCCCTGTCCACTGTTTGAATGTATTTTTGTATTTTCCTAAATCACAACAGCAGTCGGCTTTATAAAGTTGTCAATTCATCTGCAACAAATCAGAGAATAGAACAGGAGACGCAATAAGGAAAAACACATAGGAGCCATTGGTCCATAGGGAGCGGATTAGCGCTGTTTAAGGGCCACTTTTCATTAATGTTGACAATTGATGTCTGTGTTATAATTTGATTGGCGGAACGGTGGTGGAGCAAGAAGGTCCTGGGTTTGAATCCCGGTCAGAACAGGGTCTTTCTGGGTGGATTTGCATGTTGTCCCCGTGCCTTCGTAGGTTTCCTCCGAGTGCTCCAGTTTCCCCTACCATTATTAACATGCCCACTAGGTGAATCCCCCAGCTATGGTGGTCCTGACCAAGCCGAGCATCAACATCTGGTTATCGCTGTTACTACGGTGACCTCTGCTCCTGACGTAAGCCTTAGCGGCGTCAAGATGGGTCAAATGCAGAGGTTGAATTTCCCTATGGGGATTAATAAAAGTGCACCTTTACCTTTAATATGGCATCACTGGTACAAACGCTCTTGTTTCTGAAACTGAGGTACAAATACATCAGGAATATTTTTACCCATTTTTACATAATATTATTCAGTCATAAGATACCTATAATGTACTGTACATACATAATACTTTATTCGGAGCCATGGCAAACAAGAACAACAACAAACAAATCACAAACAGAATAGAAAAAGAAACAATACATGATAATAGTAAAATATACAATTGTTTAGTTTTTATTTACAAAAATCCAGCTCGAAAAGGAGTGGGAAGAAGATATGAGAGATATAAGTTATTACATTCATACCAATAGGTCTGGGGCCCTGGTGACTTGAAAATTTTACTTACTGGTTTGGAGATTTTAAGGTTCTGTTTTTACCACACAACCTTTATCCCGTTCTGGTGCCGCGGCATTCCATTGATATTCATTGTGGCAAGTGACCTTTTATTGAAGCATTGATCGCGGTTTGGTCCATATTCTTTTATGCCGCCTCCTCTTTGACTGCTGCTCCCTGTGCCCTTTGTGTCCCAGGCTGTCATCTGTACTCCATCAACACCCACCACGGCGCTGAGCTCAGGATCGTCGCCGCCATCAGGAATAAACTGCTCCTCATCACTCGCAAACGGGCCGAGGGCCTCAGCGCCGCGGGGCCGGGAGCGGACACACCCGTGGAGGAGTTTCAGTACATCAGGGTAATGAGATAATAACAATCTTTTTTTATACAATACTTTTCAGAAACAGTATTTACTAAGCACTGCACAGTTAGCAAACCATAAAAACAGCCAATAAAACAGTCATACCAATACAAAGTCAAAAAGATTAACAGTAGATACAGGAAAACAAAGCAGGGAACACAAGAGGAAAGAAAAAACTAAGACAAAATAAAATAGAACGTGAAGTTTAAAACTAGCAGTTAAAGGCTGTTTCATAGAAGTAGGTTCTAAGAAGGGATTTGACCAGAGCCTCAACCTTAGAGCAGTCAACAGGGACCTGCCTGAGGATCTAAGGCTGCGGGGAAGGGCTCGTAGGGGGTTAAAAGTCCAGTGATGTAGCTTGGTGTCAGACATAAACCAGCAACCTAAAAGTAATCAGCAAAATCTTATAAATCAATTCTACAATACACAGGGATACAGTGGAGGGATGCTAACACAGGGGTGATGTGCTCTCTTTTGTTAAAACCAGTGGGAGTTGTCAGTTTGTCCATAAATATGTAATAAGAATGAACAATTGTGGTTTTATTACGACTGTTAAGAGACCCCTGCTTTAGTTTCTGTACAAATGAAGGCGCTGTTTTGTTGGTTGTCAGGGGTTTTTATCCAAACAGACCAGATGTAACTGAATTCTAACCTAATAAAAACTGGATTAACTGCATGGCATTCAGACTTTATGACAAAAATATTAATGCCACTTTTTATGCTTTATTTACATTATTTAGTTATCTCAGCAGGGAATTGTTTGGCTCCACAGTGTATGTATGCCACATGTCTCGCTGTCATCTCATTTCCTCTGGCTGTTCCAGGAGATCTGCCTGTGCGACCCGCCCGTGGTGATGGCGCTGGTGGACGGTCCGACCGGAGAGAACGACAACATGATCTGTGTGGCCTACAAACATCAGTTTGACCTGATCAATGAGAGCACAGGGGACGCCTACCGCCTGCACCACGTGGAGGCTAACAGGGTGAACACACACACACACATATATATATATACACACACACATACGCACAGACACACACACGTACACAGACAGATACACACACAGACAGACACGCACTCACACACACTCTGACATGTACACATACACACAGAGACGCACAGACAAGCGCACACACACATACTGTGCATATGTATCCATACACACACGCGCAACCCATGATGCACGTACACACACACACATGAACACTCTCAGACAGTTGCACACACACACACAGACATGCACACATACATAAACCTGCACTCATAGAGACACACAGACACATACACACACACAGACCCGCGCAAACACACAAACCTTTCCTTTCTGTTTGACTCCATGTGCAGTCTCTGCGTGTGCACAGTGGCCTCAGTGTCCAGCAGGTGATTGGTCGATCTCTGAGAGAGCAGAACGTGAATGAGCAAACCTCAGGATCAACAGCTGCACATGTCAGGATATCTAATTATCACTCTTTTATTTGAAGTCACACAATCAAGACACGGCTGAATTACAAATCCAATCCAACCCTCTTTATTTATATTAAGACATTTAGATGTGTGTGTGTGTGTGTGTGGGCATGTTTGCGTGCATGTGTATGGGTGTGTATGTATGTGTGTGTGTGCGTGCGTGTGTATGTGTGTGTGCGTGCGTGTGTATGTGTGCGTGCGTGCGTGTGTGTGTGTGTGTGTGTGCGTGTGTATGTGCATTTACATGTTTGTGTGTGTGTGTGATCTATCTGGCTATGCAAACACTGAGGTATAGCATGCACATGATTGGATACGGAGCTGAAGTTGGTTGGGTGACACTATCAACTACGTTTATAACCTCACTATATACTTGGGGATATTTAGAGAGCCATGAATATCTTTGTCTCTTCTCTGTCCACAGGTGAATTTCGTTGCGGCTATCGACGTGTATGAAGACGGAGAGGCGGGTCTGCTCTTGTGCTATAACTGTGAGGAGCTTTTAACCCCTCTCCCTGATGTTAATTGATTCACACTCCTATCTCCAGAGTCACAGCTTTGCCTTAATGGCCTCTCTCTGGGGCCGAGCTTTGATGTTAAGAAATCACACAGAGACAAGCCGTTTTTCTCAGACCCACTGTTCGAGAAAAGGTTTCTTGATGTTACATGAACGCAGTTTTAGATATCGGTAAAAACTCACTGATTGTTCTCAATAGAATTGCTAATGTTTTAGATTAAGAGAGCCTTTATTCATCCCACAGTGGGGAAATTTCACTGTTGTGTTAACAATTACAGATAGTAGGAATGAGGAGCACACAGCACAAGATAAATTAACAATAACGCTATACTATATAAAATAAAACCTATAACTTTAGCATAATAAAGAAGCAAATATAAAAAACTCTAGCTTTAGCATAATAAAGAAGCAAGTATACAATCTCTAGCTTTAGCATCATAAAGTAGCATTTCAATTCAATATATTTTTGTATAGCCCTAAATCACAAAATGTTAATAAATGTCCATATGTTCAATGTCACCACTGTCCTTAGTCCCTCCTGCATCGGCAAGTACCAACTCAAAAAAACCAAAGTAAAAATAGTGAGGTATTTAGTGTCTAGGTCCAGAATCAGTCATATCTTAATACATATTGTGTTTGTTAAAGTTGTCAAGCAAATGAAAAACAAATCAAGTTTAAAAAGGGGAAAATCTTACACTTCACTAACAGCTGATTGAGCAAAACGATTAGACAAAAGACGACTGTTTTAACTGGTCACATCATGATTTAGTGAGAACTCTGATAAATCTGGTCTATTTTAACAATAACATTACTACCGTCAACATCTAAACTCTTCTGACAATAGCCCTAATCACACCCTGTGTATTTTCCTGCTCTGCCTCATGTCTCTCTGCTGTTCACATAAACACACCAGGAAGCAGCCGATAAACAGCCGATAGAGCTGTGTCCGAATCCTCTAACAAAATATAAATACATACATTGGCAGCGTTATTATATGGAGAAAAAAAATACGGTTATTTAGATTTGGGTTTGTACATAGAGAGACTGACATACAGACTTAAAGCTGAGGTACCTAATTAGTATTCTTTCATTAATAATACATGTTGTTAGCCCAGCAGAAGTAAAGCAGCGTAAGCAAAGCCAAATGTTGTGGGGAAAAATCTACTAAGTCTGTATCTTAGTAGAAAACATGTTATCATTTTGGATGCTTGTAAGAAAGTCACTATTTGACTCTTTGGGCTGAGAGCTGAGAGCTGATTGGCTGAGTGAGGGTGGTCCTCTCTTTTTCAATTCTCTGACTGAAAAAAGTCACATCTATAGATGTGACAAAGGCAAAAATACTTGGATGTGAAAGCTAGTCCTAGAACCAAACTGTTTTGAGAGTAACTGTTTCAAGTTAGGTACCCCAGCTTTAAGATATGCCGGAAATATTGTTAAGTTTGCTCGGAATATTATTATTATTATTTGTGTATAAATATTAGTAATTTCTTCTGTTTTTTCTCCTGTCAGATATTTGTTACTACAAGAAAGTGTGTCCTTTCAACGGCTCCACCCCGATGATCCACTCCAACACCTCCGACTTCCACTTCAGCTGGAACCAGATGCCAAACGCAATTGGTGGGTAACCATGGAAACAATGATTGGACCGCACCCTGCAGTCGTCTCTATGGCAACCTCGTCTGTAGCCAAGTGTCCGAGTTGCGTGTGTGTGTGTTTATGGGCGTGTGCGTTCATATTTGTGTGTTTATGCATTTGTGTGCGTGTGTGTGTGTGTATTTATGGGGGTGTGCATCCATATTTGTGTGTTTACGCATAGTGTTTGTGTGGGAGTGTGTGTGTGTCTGATTAAGTTTGTGGGTGTATGTGCTTTTGCGTGTGCATTTACTTATGTGTTTATGTGTGTTGGCAGGAGTGCGCATATATATTTGTGACTTTATGTGTGCAATAACAATTGAGTGTGTGTTTGCGTGTTGTGTGTGTACGTGCGCCTGTGTGTTGTGTCCGCGTGTGTGTCCCTGTGTGTGCGTATGTGTGCATGTTTGTGTGTTTGCGTGAGCGGAGGTGATGGAGGAATCCCCCAGATTCCTCCATCACATTGAAAAAGGAAATGACAATTCAAAACAATACATCATATCTTTGGAATGGAAAACAGGTCAGCGAAAGGTTACGTGACACAAAAACTCTTGACAACCGACAAATGAAAGGTTAATTCATCCGAACACAGGCACCACTAATGAATTATACTCCTGCTAATGGGATTCAAGTGCGTTGGATTTTCCCAGGTATCTGCAGTTTTTCTATGACATTAGCGCAGTCTGTGTCTATACCAGGAAACATGAGAGACCATTTTATTACCAATTCTTACTGTTAACTTTTCCCTGATGATTACTTTATTTTCATTTATTTATTTCAAACATGCAAAAAATATTCACATGGGGAAAAAATATGTTAAGAGTAAACAAGAAGACCTGTGCATGGTTTGAAGAGGGATTGGTTCAAGAAAAAAGGCTTTTTTTAATCCAATTCCCTCCCAACCATTCAAATACATACTACAATAGATAGATAAGATAGATATTTATTTCAAACCTGCACAATCATCATCATCGCAAAAATCAACACAACAGATATACAAGTGCATGGTTTGGAAAAGGAGGTGGATGAAGTAAACGCGTATAGGAATCCAAACCCCCTCACACATTCAACAGAAGAACCGTGTACATACAGGATCATTCATAAACAGCTGTAAACTTGTACAGTGCATAGAGTGAAACAATATATGACATGACCACAGAGACAAGACAACACACATACGCACACACAACACACCACAGACACACCAAACACTCTCTGACCCTACACCCTCTCCCCTTTGCTTCATGCTGAGGGCATCACTCTCTTTCCTCTATATATGCCTTTTTTTAAACAACTGTTTGAAATGAATTTTGCTTGGTCAGTTTTTTCATTCATCCGGCAAATCATTCCAAAGTTTCACTCCCTGCCCTGAGATACACATTGATTTTACAGAGGTTCTAAAATAAGTTAGTAACTAGTAGTAAGTTTGTAACTATGCCGATCGTGTCTATACTGTCAATACAATACAAAAGAACACAATCAAAACCCTACATTACCATCCGAAGAAAGACACCACAGCCAATGACACACACACGCACACACACATATACACTTTAGCACTAATGGCAAGACACGAGACAATACCGAGATTCACTGACGCTCTCATTCACACAAGACCCAAAACACCCACGAACGTTTCAAATAAAATACTGTAAAAAATAAAAATAATAATAACTTAACGTAGACAATAATCCAAAAAGGGCGGGGCCGGCAATCAACAGAACAGGAAGTAAAACTCGAAAATACACAAGAGAACAGAAAATACAAAAATAAAACAAGAACTAAAAATGACAACCATGACAAATGTGGGCTGTCATGGCACGTTATACATAATTGAAAGCTAATTTGTGCGTTTGTGCTTTCTGATGGTCTATTTCAGAGTGTGTTTAATTGTGTTGTGCTTTGGCAGTGTGTGCGTTCCCGTATATCTTGGCCTTCACCACAGACTCCATCGAGATCCGGCTGGTGGTCAATGGGAACCTGGTTTACACTGCAGTGGTACCGGGACTCGAGCTCGCAGCCTCAAGGGTCCGTAGAATCACACATGCACGTACACACTCGCGCACACACAAACACACACACACACACACACACATTAAAGCTGGGGTACATTACATTTAAACCACAAACAAAACAACTATAAAATCCATCTTACTCACAACAGTTTGCTTCAGTCTCTAGTTTTCATGGATGTGTTTTTGCCGTCTGTAACATCTCTAAATCAGTATTTTCAGACCGAAAAAAAGTGAAGAAGAAAGAACTAGCTTAATCAGTGACACACACAGGGTTCAAGTTTGTGAGATTTTTGTGGCTCTGCAAAGATTTTGTGGTCTGATTGGTCCACATGTTACGGTTGGGACAAACAACATTGATTATTTATGAGGGAAAGATAAGGTGCCCCAGCTTTACCGGACTATGTATGTATTTGAGGTAGACGATATGGAGCGGCTAAGTGACTGCCCTCCTTCAGGCTCTGGGAATAAAATATACATGTTTTTTCTCTTAGGGATATCTAAAAAAAACATGAAAGCACAAAGCCTTGTTTGGGTCATAATCGCTATAACCACAATTCATTTAAATTCAAAGCATGTGACTCATTCTTTAAAAATTGCAATGTTTTACCAAAATATATTGTGCTTTATGGGCACATACTGTCGCTGGTCCCTGTTATGTCGTCAAACTTTTAATAATTTGATTTTGTATGACAATTTTTCATCTGGAAGCAAAGGGTACTTCCTTCAAGCCAGATATTCAAATAAATGTCCTACTCTCATTGGCGTAGGGTCTCACCATAAGGGCCGAAATCAGAGCTGACTGTAGAGGGCGCTGGTGCACAGTCTGCCATAAGTGTTTAGAATGAGATGAATACGACCAACCTTGGCACGTAATGGGAAAATGATGGATTTTGAAGAAAAAAAAAGAGACACTAGCTAACCCAACTTAAGATAGCTATAAGTCGGGCCTATTTAGATAATATAACACATGATACATACATGACTGACATGTGGGCGGGACCTCAGGACTGTTAGTAATGAACATTAGAATGAATACTGAATCTCCGTCTTTCTGCTCTCCTACCAATGCATTTAAAGATATTTATCCACTTTTCTTCATAAGACTGTGGATACTAACGGCTTATTAACCGAGCGTGAGGTCTGTATGGAGAAATATCAGACCTTAACGTACAGACCGAGCCGTGGCGAGATATATCATCTGTGCAAAAAGGCCGCGGTCTGATATTTCTCTGTACAGACCGAGCAAGCGAGGTTAATAAATGTTTTATTATATGACTCTCGTCTGTGTCTTTACCAATGCTTTTGAGATTTTTGTGAAGTATGTTCATGTCCGACTTGGTTTTGTGTGATACGCGCTGCTGACAGATTGTCATGGTAACGGTCCGAGGAAAGATATCAAATGTGATACGCGCTGTTCGGACCAATTGTCATGGTAACGGTCCGAGATAGGCTGATTACCGGTCGGATATTTTCCTATCAGAGCGCGCGTACGGTCCAAGTCATATAATAAGGTGGTGTGAAAATACATTTTATATTCAGAAAAATCTATCAAAAATTAGGAAAAACCTTTTATTTTATTTTTTCAATTGAATGGAGGCCAGAGAAATATTTCCAAAAGAGGAAACCGTAGCTTTGATTTTTACTATTTGGATTTCATATCAGCATTGGCAAATATTGTAATTGCCTCATGCAGCCATTCATGAATCGGATGTTAATAAAGAAAAAATATCCCCAGGAAATTGCTTGATTGTTTAATTTTATATGTCAGCCCCATATCCCTGTGTCTATTTTCTCCAGGCTTTTGTACACGTTTAACAGTTTCTTTTTATCAATCTGTTTTTTTCCCTCCCTCAGTCTGACATCTACTTTGTGTCCTCTGCCCCGGTGAGCTCCACGTCCAACAGCAGCTCAAAAGACACCAGTTCCCAGAGTTCCCCACAGACGCCCACAGGCTACGAGATGCCCGTGTTCCCCTCGCCACTCGGAGATGGTGAGTACTGACGACAAGACAACCATTACTTTTACTTGTATATACAGAGAGGGCGAGCGTTTAAAGACCTTATGACGGGTTTAAAAAAAAAAAATAGTGGATATCAAAATTGCATGACAATGTCAATTTGAAAGAGATTCCGGCAAAAAAAATCCTATATTTTATAAAAAGAACGTGTTTTTCATGAATTTAAGTTGTCTATGCTCTAACCTGTGTGTGACGTCATAGCGGGTTACGCCCATGCATTGAAAACCATGGATCTATGCCACAGGACTGCCTTTTCTCTCTTCTCTCCACTGATGCCCAACACAATACTGCACTCTACAGGTGACAATTGCTCACTACACATAAATTGCCGTTTTGAGTGTGAAAAAGTGTCCGAGGTGGGAATTGAACCCAAGTATCTGGGTCAACAGTCCATTGACACAACCACTGGACTATCTCAGTGGCAACGAAATGTTACACTCTAGTACTTATTTTAGACTCGCTGTACACGGCCTTGTCATCTTGAATATCCGCGAAAAAAGAACGAATACCAAATTGTAAACAACCTACAGCGTTGAAACGTACCCGTTCTGACGTCACCAAGGGCTGTGAAGTTTTTTCGTTTCTAAGGGCGTTGCTATGGGGTTATTTCGATTTGGGGGGATCAGACAAAAAAAACAACAACTGATTTTGAAACCTTTAGTAGTTCTCTTCTAATATAAAATGGTATTAAAACTGTATTTCTAAATAAATCAAACCCGTCATAAGGTCAGGGGTCTCCAACCTTTTTTCCCCTGGAGCGCTACTGTCTCGTAAACGCAAATGGCAGAGAGCTACTCCCTTAAGCGGAACTGAGAAAAATGAGTCGATATTTTAGTGAGAGATTTGATACTGTCACTACCAATAATCATTTTTTTATCATCATGTATTTGTCACTACGGCACAAAGTTTGCATTTACAATCGTTGTGAGCAAGTGAATAATAGATGCTGAAATATTCAACACATTTGGCAATTTCTAACTCCTTTGGGGAGCTACCTGAAAGCTACTGGTACCTCCCGAGCTAGTGTGCAAGTGGACAATAATGGATATTTATTAACGTAATGTTCACTGGTTCAAGGTGAGGTTATTTGTACCTGTGGGTATATTCTTTTTGCAGTTTAAAGCATCTATCCAAGAAATATTCATAATAATCACATTTACACAAATATCAATAAAAACACAACAGATAAGTAAAGAAAAGCAGGTAAACGTGGACATTTATAGACATTGGTCGTCCCGCTCTCTATGGACCAATGTTGCCTTTGTGTTATCGTATTATTGTGTTGTATTTCCTGTGTTTGAATTCTTATGAAGTCTTATTTGCTGATCTGTTGTTGGTGAGTGTATTGTCACAGCGCTGCCATCAGGCCAAACATGTACATTACAATTCTCTCAGGCAAATTTAAAATGTTTTTCAGCTTCTCATGGACGGATACTTTTACAGATCTATAGTTTTAGTTTGTACATAATACGCTTAGAAAATTACACAGTTTTGCCTTCTGCAGAGGGTCCAAGGAATCCAACAAGGTTGTTCAAGAGAGATGAGTGTTTGCAGTGGGTCTAACTTAGTCAGGTGCACATCAGGATCAGTAGTGGCAAAACCACTGGAAACTTAAAAGAGATGAGGAAAAAATCCCGCCCTCGGCCTCAGGGATATGCGACGCGCATGTAGGGCCTTCTTCAGGGCCTGTGTTACAGGGTACCAGGTGTGGTTTAAATTAGGGATGCACCGATACCGATACTGATGTTGGGTATTGGGACGATACCATAGGCTTGTACCCGCACTCATTCCATAGGACCAGATGCCCGCAGCCGATACCCGCTGTGTGGCACTAGTTGACATAGAGATCTCAGAAAGTCTACAGCAAGAAGACACCTACCGCTTGCGGCAGCGCTAAGCTTAGCCGCTAGCTTAGCGGCTAGCAGACAGTAAAACTGTCACAAAGGCGGGTCTAAAACAAACACGTAAAAACACCAGCAACTTGATCAAACTTCTGAAAACTCCACCACACGGAGTATAGCACCTTTGCTACTTGGTTAGCTCAGCAACAACCAACGTTGTTTTAGTTATAAGAATTCTGTCTATTTATTACCTACAAGGCGCTTGGAACAAAAGTATGCAGGAAACCACCCAACCTGGCAACACTTAAGTTTGGATAATCAACCAGACACATAATTATCAACTTCACATAAACATACTCAGAAATACACTTGTAAAAGGTACAGACACAAAACCAAAAACCCGTTTGTTCACTAATGTTGTCGTCGTATGATGACAGGTGGAAGAACGATTACCATTTGAGTTTACATATATGTGTTGACAAATGTCAAATGCTACTATAATCTCAATACCCCATCATGGAACCAGCTGAACAACCAGATATTAATCATTTTTATCCTTAGAAAAATCTCAAATCTCCAATATCCCCAGCTGTGCCTGCTCATGTGTGTAATAAGTCAGGGTCACAGGGACATGCTTAAAATGCATCCCGCTTTGAACATTTTTTATTAAACGATTAAATGAGCCACAAAATGAAGTATCCATTCATCTGTGTGTTCCAAATGCAAAGCAGCCATTTGAATCAGTTTGCTTGATTATCAAAGATGCCAAATTGCGCGGGATTAGAAAGGAAACAGGTGGCACGGACCAATTACTGCGTGCCTCCTGCCTTAGCTCTGCTCAAGGCACAAAAGAAGTGTCCTTTGAGGAAGCCCAAGAATTATTATAATAATCTTTATGTTTATTTATTTTTGGATTATGGATCAATGTGTCCCCTGACCCCGCCAGTCCATTGTATATTTGTCTAATTTAACTGCCCTCCCCCGCTGTGTAGCTGACCTCTCCCAAATTTAAAAATTCACAAAATAATAAAATGTCCAGAATTGTCTTTTTGCAGCTTCTGGCGACGCGTTCACTGCAAAAAAGTGATCACATTTGAGGCGATGTTTGCTTGAATCTAGTGTTTTCTTTGCATAACTTGACTACATTCTGACTGCCTTAAAACAAGAGATCCTTTTTTTGTCCCACAGTGGGGAAATTTCAGTGTTGCATCATCAGTTACAGCACAAGATACATACCAAATAAATAAATAAACATAAATCAAATAAAAATCTTTAACTGTAGCATGAGGAAGAAACAAGTATAACATCTCTATCTTTAGCATAACGAGTACAACAAACTCTGACTTTACCTTAAAGGAGCTATACCTGTTTCTGCAAGGTTTGAATGTTTAGCACCGCCCCCCAACTCTAGTCGTTTTATTTGCGATCTGATACGTATGCTAACATTAGCATGAGCTCAACTTCTTGTTACTGTGGGATTACCGCTAGTTCCGCGTCCGAATGTAGTCTGTGGCCATTTTAGTCTTATTTCATGAACTGTTGCTTTATTTTCTCATTCCACGGGAGACATTTCTTGTATATTTTTAAGACAAGATCCTTTTGCTTTGTCCCATTGGCAGATCTTGTTTTAAAGCAGTCAAAATGTGCTCAAATTAAGATACGTTCTGCCAAATTTGAGCAATTTTGGACTTATTTATGACATTTTGCAGTGTACCGTCACAGATTGTTGTCATTCAAGGCACCGACCACACTCTGGGCTAATCAGTGGGGGTCACATCCTTTCCTCCATCATTTGACCTGCAAAAACATGAGATGTGTTTGACTCGTGGACAAACTCAGAGGATTTTAATCAAAATCCCTGCATTTGTGGCTTTTAGGGCACCATCAAAGTGATCCATTTTCTGGGAGAGTGGATATTTACAGGTCCCATTAAGACTGTTGCAGAGAAGGATTGTGTCTGGGACTCTAGTAATTAGTAAAGAATGACGTAGTGTCTGCTGATTATTTTCCTTAAAGGAGACTTATGCTGCTTTCATGCGATCTCGGAAACTCAGAAGACAAAAGAAATGTGCCCTCGATGGTCCCCGAGTTTGCGTCACTGTGGCACAGATTGTGATTGGACAAAATAATAGAGAGAAACTGAGAGGGAAATCACACTGATGGTTTTACTTTTCAAAATAAACACATTTATGACCAAAATCAATTAGATTATCAATTATGGTCACAAAAGGTATAGTAGAAATATTTAACATTGTATAAGCAAGTTTTGTTGTAATTCCAGTTAAATGTCTGCACATTTTTGTGTTGTTGTTGTCGGAAGATTACTTGGATACAGTGGCGGCTGGTGGAATTTTCTACTGGGGGGGCTATGAATATGATGACTAGATATATACCAGCAGTAAGTAAGTTTACACTGACTGTTGTGACTGAAGCCTCACACGAGAATGAAATATTTATCTTCCCAAACATAGCTAATTTGAGGGCATTTTGCATGTGGATACCAGTCTGCTCATGCTTCTTTGCCTTTTCTAAAAAAGTGCTTCAGATCAGTCATACCTGTCTTGATCCATGCTGGGTCAGATCCTGATGTTTGAAACAAGAGGCATGGAAAGCAAAATAAAGCATTAGCCTCGCTACATGCTGCTAGCCAAGATTTGGCGCTGAACCAGGTCCTGGAAAAAGTACGAGTGTACCGTCTCCCCCTGTCGCTGGACTGCTGACTAATGTTAATATTTGGCTGATCAGGTCCAAGCTCTTTAACCTCAACCTTCTCCTGGTATGATCTTCTCTCAAACGGTATTGTTTTGAGTGATCTAACTGAATTATTCTTTTTCTCGTTCTCCATTTTGCGTCTCTTTACGTTCGTCTCAAACTCCCACAGCTTGACCTGTCAATCACTGTAAACGGACGTCACAGACAGTGACAGTACAGGTCGCGGGCGATCCCGCCCCCTCAGGGCGCACTTCTCCTGCGCCCCCAAATCATCTTATCTCTTGCATTGAAGAGGAGCTACTGCGCATGTACAACTTTTAACGAGAGTCCATAGACGGCTTAGGGCGCAATCTTTTGCGCCCTGAGGCGGAAATACGTCCTCAGTCTGACACAGACAACGCTGATGAGCTTAATCAATCCAACTCAGCATAATCTATAAAGTATTTCTTCCACATCTGAAATAAAACACACATAAATTTCGAAATATTTTAATGTTATTATTTTTTTTAACGTTTTATTCAAGGTAACATGGCAAGTTGTGAGTGGTGGGGCGGCGCCCTAGCGCCCTCTATTGGCCGGCCGCCACTGCTTGGATATCTTCCAGATCACACAACGACGGCAATATCAACCCCCAGTGATCCAAGATGGCGCCCTATTCAAATGAATGGCTTGTGCTCAGTAGTTCATGGGACTTCACAGAGACCAGGAGATTAGCAGAACTCGCCTATATTTGGGCATCTTCTGGTCCTCCCGGTTCTGCGCAGTGGACGAGCTCCCATGATGCATTGCGCCAAACGTGCGTGTGTGGCTTTCATGCACGTGCACAGAGGGACTCGGCTGCGCTCTGACCAATCAAGAGTTGATCATCAGAGCAGTGGCAGAGCGGAGCCAGAGCAGGAAGGAAAGGAGCAGAGTTTGTGGCAGTAAAATGTAGATTTAAAAAACTCGAAGGATTTAAGAAGAAAAAAAGTTCAGGATGACAAGGGACACTAAAATCCCCACAAAATATGATCTTTATGAAAGCTGTAGGTTCTCTGTCAGCTGAGGTCGAGCTGTTTTAGTTTACATTGAGTTCTATGGGACTTTTTTCTGGGTAGCCCTCGTGAATTTAGTCTGCAGTACCACAGCGCCCCCTGTGCCCATGGGTGGCACAGCTTTAAGTTAGTAAACCCTATCCAGTTATTATTATAGATCCATGGGCAATATCCGATCTTTTTTTTGATCAGACCTTGGTTTGTTTTTCCATCCATCCAAGTTAATATCGGAAACTTCTGTCGCAAACATGTAGCTCTTCTCCTTCTGTCGAAGAACTCGTGCCTCAGTCCTGTTTGTGTGTAGTATGTCATTTTACTGTCTTTTAAAACCATTTTTGCAATTTCCCAGTGAATTTACATTTGTCACAATCACATGTCCGTGTTCGCAGCCAGGAATTTTTATTTGAATTTGAAAAACAAAACAAAAAATCTACTTCTCCCTCTGGCGGCCGCATAGGGAGTTACATGCAGAAAGCCTTTTTATCCCTCCATACTTCTTTCACCATATTTAACATAAAATATAGCATAAAATCCCATATGGTCTCATTATCAATTTCAATGTCCAAGGAATATTTTGTCCTTAAAACCGTTTTATTTGCTTGATCTTTTACCCTCTACTACCTACTGTGTGTGCCCCCTACGTGTTGTGTGTGTGGTGTAACCTTCTCTTTCATTCCTGGTTCAGATTCTATACGGATTCCTTATGGTACCAAGCTATCCCTGTACATGTCTAAGGACCCTGAAGGTACTGCAGGACTCCCCCGCTCGCTCCGTCCACACGAACCTCTCGGCCCACTAACACGCACATGCTCCCTCCGTGTGTTGGCCCGATCAGATCCGAGCCGGCATGTTGACTTGAACGTTGGTTGAATGTTAAGTGAACATTATGTCTTCACCAACCCCCCTCTTCCTGCCCCTTTTTTGTCATCGCTAATTCATTTTAAAATCCAGTGGAAATCGGTACGGGGGGAAAACAGACGTGCATTTGCATAGATTGATTCGAGGATGACAGTGGGTCAAGAAGAAAAAAAAAAGGTGCACCCATGCGTGGTTGTTGACGGCAAAGAGGAAACGGGGGTACAAGGAGACGTGGAGGAAAGAGGGAAGAAGACACGTCGGCTGCAGCATGATTTACTGATTGCACTGTCGTCATGGAGACTTTTGTCAGCCCCTCTCTCTTCGGTACAAAGTGGAAGTCTAAACACTGGTGTGCCGCTCGGTGAAGGCATAGGGTGAAATGTGGGAGGGGTCGCTGACAAAAATCCCATTGTCTAACTATGCACCTGCTGTATGTGCTCCGTGAGGAAGGCTCAACTGATCAGACGTCGAGATGCTAATAAAGCTAGGCCTGTCGCAGCTAATCTGTTATGGAAATTGTTTTTGTTTTATTAACCTCACCTACTGAACTTAAACAGTCTGAGCAGAGCTTGTATGACTCAGGTATGAAGTGTGTAGTAGTATTTTTAATCAAGCAACCAAATGTGTATCAAGTTGTGTCCAGTTCTCCAGGGGCATCTCTTAGATTAGATTAGATTATATACATTTTATTTGCAATTTGCAGTAAAACCACATTGGAATACATTTGCAAACGTCCCCAGCATGCACCAGACAAGTACAGGAATAAAACAACCTAAAAAGTACAGAAATGAAACACGATTTTTAAAAGTACAGGAATAATAATGTATAAAAAGTCCCATATTCACAATAAGTTTTTTAGTAATCAAATCCATCCATCCATTTTCTACCCTTTAATCCATTTCTGGGTCAGGGGGGTGGCAATCAGAGATGCCACCCAAGTCTCATAGCACCAGCCCCTCACTGACCCTCTGCAGGTGGTGAGTCCACAGGAGGACGGCTGCTCTCTGAGTGTGAGCATAGCCTTGATCTTTCAGTGGGGGCTTTGGGCAAAGTGGGGTTAAGTGTCTTGCCCAAGGACACAACGACAGCAGTCATCAGAGGGAGTCGGTGGAGAAGGTGCAGAGGTGGGAAATGAACCCACGACCTTCTGGCCCTAAAGGCGAATGCTCTACCAACTGAGCTACTGTCGCCCCACAGTAATCAAATCATTTTATACAAACTTGATTTCACAAGTTTGGTTGCAGCAGCAGAGAGGCACACATTTACACAAGGAATTCATGAATACACAAAAAGCAGTTAGCCGCATGATGTTATTTTAACTCTCAAAGTGAAGGAATTGTGTCCATGTCTCAATGACAGGCAGTCAAACTAAAACCAAACCACAGAGAAGTCAAAATAACAAAATCCACACCGTGACATATGCACTGTAGTTAGAGGCACCATGAGGTAACAATAAATATGGCTTAGATCTGTGTCTTGCTAAATCCTTCTGGTCTGATCAGTTTGGCCTTTTTGTCCCATCATGCAGCAGGACACATAGTTACACAGAGACATATTTGGATGTACTGTATGTGGCTTCAGCATTTACCCAACGACTGCATGCTGCTGTGAGTGCCCCGCCGCCGCCGAGGAGACGACCGCCACATCAGCACGGGCCCTTTTTTATTCTTCATGGCTTTTACTCACCTCTCACCTGCCGACATTTCATATTAGACATGCTTTGTACACAGCGCCACGTTCACTCACTCACACCTAAGCGTCACACTGCACCCTGTTGGTTCGTTTTGGTACTGCAACTTGCAAGTTTCTGTAAATGATATGCTTTTCAGACTTATGTGTATTCATTCTGCATGTGTGGTTGCTGGGCATTTGTATCGTAACACATAATTCATACTGTATTTTCTGTAAACAGGCAATTTTTTAACAAATGCGCTGTTTTTTTATCAATTGTGAAGCAAATACAATCTCCCTCTGTATTCCTCCTGTGTGTTTTTACATGTCGATTGTTTGTTTTTCTAAGGTGAATGTGGGTGCAAACACATCTTTAAGATCCCATTGTCCAACCTTGTGGGTCGCAGCATTGAGAGACCCCTAAAGTCTCCTCTGGTTAACAAAGTCCTGACCGCACCAGCGCCCTCCATGGTCCTGGCCAGTCCGCTCATCTCAGCCTCCCACTCTCTGTCCATGTCCCGGATGGAGATCAAGGAGATAGCCAGTCGCACACGAAAGGAACTGCTCGGTGAGTGGAGAAGCAGAGAGAGAGAGTAGAAATATCTAAAGAAACGACCCTGGGGTTATTTGAGAACTTATTTGAGAACCTTTTTTTTTTTTGGATCCCCTTTGGCTTCTACAAGTGGTCGCTAGTCTTCCTGGGGTCCACTTTACAAGAAATAATAAAAAGAATAAAAAGCAACTACAAAATAACCCCAAACTTCAATATTCGTTCACAAATTGGTGGTTTATTGTTTTCTTAAAAGTATAGCTACTAAGTAAGTATTTATTTCAAGCTTGTATTTTTCAAACAGCATAACAAAAATCAAACAAGAAAAATACAGTTTGAAAAGGGGTTGGGGCAAAGCAACTGGGCTCCAACCCCCCTCGTTCACACAATACAAACACACACACAATCACACACACAAACACAGACCAAAACTCTCTGACCATTCACCTTCATCGCACTCTTTAAATGTGTCGTGATTGTGTTTGTGTGAAGGTTTAACAGAAGAACCAAGTGGGAAGTCCGACAGTAAACAGCGGAGAATGAGCCGAAAGAACACGGAGGAGGAGCCTAAAGCCAGAGCCCTGACCTCAACGAACAACGACAGGTGACTTATATATATATACAACTACACAACTACACAACTACACAACTACACAACTATACAACTACACAACTATATAACAACAGAACTATACAACTACACAACTACACAACTACACAACTACAACTACACAACTACACAACTATACAACTATACAACTATACAACTATACAACTATACAACTACACAACTATACAACTACACAACTATACAACTACACAACTATACAACTATACAACTATACAACAACACAACTACACAACTACACAACTACACAACTATACAACTACACAACTATACAACTACACAACTATACAACTATACAACTATACAACTATACAACTATACAACTACACAACTACACAACTACACAACTACACAACTATACAACTATACAACTACACAACTACACAACTATATAACAACAGAACTATACAACTACACAACTACACAACTACACAACTATACAACTACACAACTACACAACTATATAACAACAGAACTATACAACTACACAACTACACAACTATACAACTATACAACTACACAACTATACAACTACAACAACTACTACAACTACACAACTATACAACTATACAACTACACAACTATACAACTACACAACTATACAACTACACAACTATACAACTACACAACTATACAACTACACAACTACACAACTATATAACAACAGAACTATACAACTACACAACTACACAACTATACAACATACAACTATACAACTATACAACTACACAACTATATAACAACAGAACTATACAACTACACAACTACACAACTATACAACTACACAACAATACAACTACACAACTATATAACAACAGAACTACACAACTATATAACAACAGAACTATACAACTACACAACTATACAACAACACAACTATACAACTACACAACTACACAACTGTACAACTACACAACTGTACAACTGTACAACTACACAACTGTACAACTATACAACTACACAACTATACAACAACACAACTATACAACTACACAACTACACAACTACACAACTACACAACTACAACTACACAACTACACAACTGTACAACTATACAACTACACAACTATACAACTATACAACTACACAACTATACAACTACACAACTGTACAACTATACAACTGTACAACTATACAACTACACAACTGTACAACTACACAACTATACAACTACAACTACACAACTGTACCACTACACAACTATACAACTATACAACTACACAACTACACAACTACACAACTATACAACTACACAACTGTACAACTACACAACTATACAACTATACAACTATACAACTATACAACTACACAACTGTACCACTACACAACTATACAACTATACAACTATACAACTACACAACTGTACAACTACACAACTATACAACTATACAACTACACAACTATACAACTACACAACTATACAACTACACAACTACACAACTACACAACTACACAACTATACAACTACACAACTACACAACTATACAACTACACAACTATACAACTACACAACTATATAACAACAGAACTATACAACTACACAACTATACAACTACACAACTACACAACTACACAACTACACAACTACACAACTATACAACTATACAACTATACAACTATACAACTATACAACTATACAACTACACAACTATACAACTACACAACTATACAACTACACAACTATACAACTATACAACTATACAACAACACAACTACACAACTACACAACTATACAACTATACAACTACACAACTATACAACTACACAACTATACAACTATACAACTACACAACTACACAACTACACAACTACACAACTATACAACTATACAACTACACAACTACACAACTATATAACAACAGAACTATACAACTACACAACTACACAACTACACAACTATACAACTACACAACTACACAACTATATAACAACAGAACTATACAACTACACAACTACACAACTATACAACTATACAACTACACAACTATACAACTACACAACTATACAACTACACAACTATACAACTATACAACTACACAACTATACAACTACACAACTATACAACTACACAACTATACAACTACACAACTACACAACTATATAACATACAACTACAACTAACAACTAACAACACTACAACTATACAACAATACACACAACTAACAACTACACAACTATACAACTACACAACATACAACTAACAACAACAACTAACACAACTACACAACTACACAACTACACAACTATACAACTACACAACTACAACAACAACTACACAACTACACAACTAACAACTAACAACTACACAACTAACAACAACACACTATACAACTACACAACTACACAACTATACAACTATACAACTACACAACTATACAACTATACAACTACACAACTATACAACTACACAACTATACAACTACACAACTACACAACTAACAACTAACAACTACACAACTACACAACTACACAACTACACAACTATACAACTATACAACTAACAACACACAACTACACAACTATACAACTACACAACTACACAACTATACAACTATACAACTATACAACTATACAACTACACAACTATACAACTACACAACTATACAACTATACAACTATACAACTATACAACTATACAACTACACAACTACACAACTACACAACTATACAACTACACAACTATACAACTACACAACTACACAACTATACAACTATACAACTATACAACTACACAACTATACAACTACACAACTACACAACTACACAACTATACAACTATACAACTATACAACTACACAACTACACAACTACACAACTACACAACTATACAACTATACAACTACACAACTACACAACAACACAACTACACAACTACACAACTACACAACTATACAACTACACAACTATACAACTATACAACTATACAACTACACAACTATACAACTATACAACTATACAACTACACAACTACACAACTATATAACAACAGAACTATACAACTACACAACTATACAACTACACAACTATACAACTACACAACTACACAACTATATAACAACAGAACTATACAACTACACAACTACACAACTATACAACTATACAACTATACAACTACACAACTATACAACTACACAACTATACAACTACACAACTACACAACTATATAACAACAGAACTATACAACTACACAACTACACAACTATACAACAACATACAACTATACAACTACACAACTATATAACAACAGAACTATACAACTACACAACTACACAACTATACAACTACACAACAATACAACTACACAACTATATAACAACAGAACTACACAACTACACAACTATATAACAACAGAACTATACAACTACACAACTATACAACAACACAACTATACAACTACACAACTACACAACTGTACAACTACACAACTGTACAACTGTACAACTACACAACTGTACAACTATACAACTACACAACTATACAACAACACAACTATACAACTACACAACTACACAACTACACAACTACACAACTATACAACTACACAACTACACAACTATACAACTACACAACTGTACAACTATACAACTGTACAACTATACAACTACACAACTGTACAACTACACAACTATACAACTATACAACTACACAACTGTACCACTACACAACTATACAACTATACAACTACACAACTACACAACTACACAACTATACAACTACACAACTGTACAACTACACAACTATACAACTATACAACTATACAACTATACAACTACACAACTGTACCACTACACAACTATACAACTATACAACTATACAACTACACAACTGTACAACTACACAACTATACAACTATACAACTACACAACTATACAACTACACAACTATACAACTACACAACTACACAACTATACAACTACACAACTATATAACAACAGAACTACACAACTATACAACTATACAACTACACAACTATACAACTACACAACTATACAACTACACAACTACACAACTACACAACTACACAACTATACAACTATACAACTATACAACTACACAACTATACAACTACACAACTACACAACTATACAACTATACAACTATACAACTACACAACTACACAACTACACAACTATACAACTATACAACTATACAACTATACAACTATACAACTACACAACTACACAACTATACAACTATACAACTATACAACTACACAACTATACAACTATACAACTATACAACTACACAACTGTACCACTACACAACTATACAACTATACAACTATACAACTACACAACTGTACAACTACACAACTATACAACTATACAACTACACAACTATACAACTACACAACTTCACAACTATACAACTATACAACTACACAACTATACAACTACACAACTATACAACTACACAACTATACAACTACACAACTATACAACTACACAACTATACAACTATACAACTATACAACTATACAACTATACAACTATACAACTACACAACTATACAACTATACAACTGGCCATACAGGAGGCCACAGAGTCCGGGTCACATGTCACAGATCTGGGCGGCACGGTGGCTGAGTGGATAGCACTCTCGCCTCTCAGCAAGAAGGTCCTGGGTTCGAATCCCGGCCGGACCAGGGCCTTTCTGAGTGAAGTTTGCATGTTCTCCCTGTGTCTGCGTAGGTTTCCTCCGGGTACTCCGGTTTACCCTACCACTAAAAACATGCACAATAGGTCTGGCATGCGCCTCCTGTTCGGCGACCCCGCTCCCATCTCTGTGTGGAGTGAGAGACAAATGCCCAAATAATAACAATTGTAAACCGCTTTGTGACTCTGGTCTGTGAAAGGCGGTATATAAATAAAGATTACTTACTTACTTACTAGATGTACTTTGGTGCGAGGCCACATAGAGACTTGTGTCTATTCTCTGAGCCACAGAAGCCAGTGCAGAGACCTGAGGACTGGACTAATGTGGGCGTACTTCCTGGTTCATCAATAATGAAATATTTTAGTGAACAGATTTAGTGCAGTGCAAGGACTGTTGACCAGTTGTGTAAATATCCAAAAGCACATTTAAATGAACCAGAGTTGAAAGCAGGACAGTTAAGATTTCACATTTTAGTTTATTTTCTCAGTATGTTTACAGCTGTTTATCTTGTTTTTGAGAGCTCCTCATTCATCTTGTTTTGAGTGCTACTATAGCCCCAGTAAACATTATAGTCGATTGTAGAGGAGAAGAATCTTTAACAAATATGTCCTTGAAGAAGCATCCCAGTAAACATTATTATTAGAAAACTGTTGTTATGGTACGATAATGTGGATTAACTGTGTGTGTTTTACTCTGACTCAGGTAATCAATGTTTACATGTATTAGGCTTGCAAAGGATACATTTAATTTAAGTATTCCAAGAAAGCGTTAAGTATTTTTTTTAACTTTTGCTTCCTCCTTTTGAGCTCTGTAAAACACTAAAAATATATAGGAGGATTGTCCCGTGTCTTCACAATGATCGGACTCCCAACATTTTGAAACTACAAGAACTCCCAAAGCCGTCATTTTGACTGCTCACATTTAGACCAATGGAATTCTGAGAAAATCCCCGCCAAAAAAATGTGTAATTAAAAAAGTATTAACCTTTACTCACTCAAGCGCTAAAACTGGTGAAAATAACTTGAAATGCAACAAAAACTATTATTCTAACGGTAAACAATGTGTTGCTATGGTAACTAGTACTGGCTCTTTTCTAGCAGCTCTTCTAGTAATATGTTAGAACTACTCATATTATTTAAAATAAAAGATAATTTGATTAAAAAAAATAATTCCATGAAATTAACTTCATGTAGAGACAGAAAAAGTCACAAAGTTATGAAGACTAAAAATCTACATGAGCTGAGTAAATACACTTAAATACAAAACTGAAAGGTGTCAAATTGACTGCTCTGGGAGTTCTAATGTTAAACAAAACATCATCTTTTTTTAAGTAAGTAATTTTTATTTATATAGCGCCTTTCACAGACCAGAGTCACAAAGCGCTTTTATCAACTGTATGTTTTGCTTTGAGCTCAAAGAAACTGAATCTGAATCTGAAACACTGTGATGGATCCCCACTGCTGCGCCGTCTGCAAATGAATTCCTCACGGTTAAATAAAGTTATTTGAATTGAATTGATGACGTCTCTCCTCCCGTTGCTCAGGACGCCGCCAGAGTCCGATGAGTTCGAGGTGGACTTTCAGAGGCAGTTGTCCTCCAGCTCCGAGGCCGAGGGGGACAGGGTCTTGCTGCAGGACGATAGCCCCTTGGCCAGTGCGTTCGGCCGCTCCACGTCCTTCGAGGAGGACGTCCTGGACCTAAAGTGAAGACAATCCCAGAATGCACCGCTCTGTCCTCCGGCCCGCCACCTGTCAATGTTGTTCTCTGTCACTTTGCTTTTCTTTGTAATTTGGTTGTTTTTGTGGTATTTCACACTTTTTTGTCAGACCAAATGAATGCGAGTGGTTTTGTTTCAGTGTCGGGTTTCTATGTTGCTTTGCTAAGAAGTAATGTTGTTTACCTCTACGACTGCCTTTTCAAAAGTGAAAGACTGAGACACAAACGACTAAACTTCACATGGACAGTCCTCCCCCGCTAAAGCTCACCAACCACTTAAATCTGTCATGTATATGTTTGTGTGGCACTCTTTGTACAAACGCACATGTTGGTTTATGTATCGCAGCTGTACAGATGGTGAATCACATATTTCTTCTTGAATTCACGTTTGATTTCCTGGATGAGAGTATAGATGCGGACAGAGGTCTCCTGTCCGGCAGTAGCGGCCGTGACTGTTGTCAGCACTACAGATAAATAAATAACTATATGCAAACCAAACATCTTCACATCTGACCATGTGCAATAATTAGTCAGCCGCGTCAAAGGCGTCACATCAATGACATGAACACGATTAGTTCCTACAGATATGGAACTATGACTGAAACCTCCACATCTTAGTACCTACAGATATGGAACTATGACCGAAACCTCCACATCTTAGTACCTACAGATATGGAACTATGACCGAAACCTCCACATCTTAGTACCTATAGATATGGAACTATGACTGAAACCTCCACATCTTAGTACCTATAGATATGGAACTATGACCGAAACCTCCACATCTTAGTACCTATAGATATGGAACTATGACTGAAACCTCCACATCTTAGTACCTACAGATATGGAACTATGACCGAAACCTCCACATCTTAGTACCTACAGATATGGAACTATGACCGAAACCTCCACATCTTAGTACCTATAGATATGGAACTATGACTGAAACCTCCACATCTTAGTACCTACAGATATAGAACTATTACTGAAACCTCCACATCTTCAACAAAAAGACTGCAATAAAACCACTATAATTCTGTCTGTTATTGGACTCATGTAAAGGTCAGAGTGAGCTGCAGCATCAGAAACACACGTGGGCCACTTTCCATAAGTCAATTATACTTCAATGTACCAGGAATGCCTATATGCATGAGGATTGGTGTGATAGCGCCCCCGTGTGGGCATGTGTGATCTGTCCCTGGCTGAATGGGGAACAGGAGACTATAACGAGTCTATGAGCATGAGGCAGAGTCTTGGTCCACCACACTTTCCTCTCGCTGTAAACAATATAATGTATTTTTGTAAAATGCTCCTTATTTCTACCTCCCTCCTCGATAAGTTTCATGTTTCTGTTTCTTTTGTTTTTATGGATCATTTGATGTAGTCTCTCATCCGTCCAGAGAAGTTTCAAAGTTTCATCTTACAGCGTTTTTGACCTTGACATGTTTAGACCTGGGAGACCTTTCCAATCTGGTTAATTACTGTTTTGATTGTTGCTGACCCCTCTGTGATATTAAAAAGAAAGAAAATCTAAAAAAAACACCAAGTGTCTTAAAATATTGTATTGCCATCGTTTTTAATGCCAAGTTCTACTTGTAAATGTTTCTGTATCAAATGTGGCCTCAAATTTAACTGACTATAGTATTATATGATTATGATTTGAGCAATTTCTTTAAAGTGCTGTAGATCACTGCTGTGAAATTGTCAATTTTGTTTATTGATATATAATAAATATTTATGGGATTTACAGAGCATCTATTGGTTTGTTTTTTGACTGAACCCGAGGCAGTGTTTCGAATGTGCAGAGAGAAACATTTCACTAAACGTGCAGTGCGTGTGGATCACGAGTGGAGACTTGTGAGATCAGTTTGGGGGTTTCCTGTTCTTTTCACGTTCAACATCACCTCAGATGATGTCACGTGTCAGAGAGAAATTACACAAACACTGTCATCTTGAGATCACAGAGAAACAGTGAGTTATCAGCAACAAACTCTGACCGCAGTGAAGCAGTCGAGTCTCAGTCGGGGTTTGGTGACGTGTGTTTCTCTATTATTTCTATTCTTTTTTTTTTTTAGGACCACTTTAGTTCATCAGACTTGTCCAGTGGCCCACAACATGGATCGCAAAACTGTCAAACTTGACTGGCTTCAGGCTGTTCATGAGGTTTGACTTTTTGACGAGTGGAAGTTGGCTGAATGACAAATGTTTACTATCGCGTCAGGCGCATTAGCTCCGTCTGAATCATTTTGCGAATCAAAAACAAATGTCGGTAGATTCACAGAAAGTCAGCGGCTGAATTCTAGTGGTTCTCGCGCTATAAACAAGGTCTAACTTGCTGATATTTGTGAAGCTGAAGGTGGCTGGATGATCGCATAGACTTCTTAGCAAGGCAGAGGGCATAAGTTTGGACATGTCTGCAGGCATGTCTGTCTAAAGGCAAAAAGAAAGAACTAAAACACCTCAAAGTTTTGGACATTTTGTCAGCTTTCCAACCATAAACATAAAGATTTTATCATGATTTTGTTTTGTTTTTCTGTAAGTTCAGACCCAAGTAACAGACGACTGTGAAGAGAAAGCAAAATGATACCTGGTTATTATTTGGTTATTTTTCAGAAAAAAAAAACAGAAAAGCTGAGCATGCACAAATATTCATACAACTAATGCATTTAATTGTCTCCCTAAGGATCACTCTCCCGATACAGGGAGGATTCAGGGATGAACTTGTGGAAAAAGTTTTAAAAGTAAAAATTTAGAACTTTGACTGTACGGCGATGAAAACAAAGCCGTGTCATCTGGAAAAAAAGGGTTTAGTCAGACATCAATTGCGCAAGTCCTTGAAGAAGATGACATAGTCTGGGATCGCGTCTTTAATTCAGACAGAAGACATGTTTTATTGTCGATGGTAGAGACAGCACGATCAAAGCACACGATCACAGATACAAGAGAATGCAAGTGTATTATACAGAGCGGAGGCATGGAGACCTCCAATCAGCAGCTTCCACGGTGCCATGTAGCTTGGCCTTCAGATAGACAAAACATAAAGTGGAAAAGTACAGGCTTCTGCACATTGATAGAATGATGAGTTTAACTTTAACAAAAGTTGCTTCAAAGTGTTATGAAATCTCACATTCCCCCCTCTGGTCGTACATTCACGTGTGACCATCAGGATCGATAAACAGCAACATAACATCATAACTCAATACTTCAAAAATTCATAAACTCGGTACTTCACTCGGTACTTCAAAAAACTCAGAACTCGGAATACTTCAAAAACTCATAAAACATGTTCAGATCTTTCATAAAACTCGTCAACAATCTTCAGTAAAATACCAAACTTCATCAGTCGATGGTGGTTCCAGATATTGCTTTGAAAACAGTCTCTCCCACTTCTCCTGTTGGTTTCTTCAGACTGCATTTGTGTCGAGCCATGAATTCTTCTGTGACGTGTCTTTCAATCACTCGTTTCAGCTTCAGTGTCCAGATTCAGCAATTCAATTCAGTCCAAATTATGTCCAAATTCAGAAATCCAGATTGTTCCAAATGATGTCCAAATTGTGTAATCCAATGGTTCCAAATGGTGTCCATCCAAAAGAGGACGATGGTATTGTCCATGTCTCAGCAGCTCACAGCCTGAGTGGAATCAGGGGCTGTGCAGATAGTCCAAGTGTGCTGGTCCAGATGCATGGTTTCTCTTGAGGTTTCTCAGTTTTGGCTTAAAAAAACACTTTTTGTGTAAAAAAAAAAAAGTCTTCTGTTCTCTAGATGTTACAGACAAGGCCCGCATCCTTCCACCACCTGAAGAAGATGACAAAGTCTGGGATCGCGTCTTTAATTCAGACAGAAGACATGTTTTATTGTCGATGGTAGAGACAGCACTATCAAAGCACACGATCACAGATACAAGAGAATGCAAGTGTATTATACAGAGCGGAGGCATGGAGACCTCCAATCAGCAGCTTCCACGGTGCCATGTAGCTTGGCCTTCAGATAGACAAAACATAAAGTGGAAAAGTACAGGCTTCTGCACATTGATAGAATGATGAGTTTAACTTTAACAAAAGTTGCTTCAAAGTGTTATGAAATCTCACATCCTAACACTTAATGAAGATGAGACATGCCTGTAATTTTCATCATCGATATTCTTCAACTCACCGGTTCTGTTCACTGTATTTATGGACAGAATATCTAGGCGCAGCCAGGGGTCGGAGGGGGTCCGGTTCGGAGACCACAGGATTTCATCTCTGCTGTTTGCGGACGATGTTGTCCTGTTGGCTCCAACGAACCAGGACCTGCAGCATGCACTGGGACGGTTTGCAGCCGAGTGTGAAGTGGCTGGGATGAAAATCAGCACCTCCAAATCCGAGACCATGGTGCTCGACCGGAAAAAGGTGCCTTGCCCTCTACAGGTCCTGGTCCTCTCCGGGTGGGTGGAGAGGTCCTTCCTCAAGTGGAGGAGTTCAAGTATCTCGGGGTCTTGTTCACGAGTGGGGGAAGGATGGAGCGTGAGATTGACAGGCGGATCGGTGCAGCGTGCGCAGTGATGCGGTCGCTGTATCGGACCGTTGTGGTAAAGAGGGAGCTGAGCCGAAAGGCAAAGCTCTTGATTTACCGGTCAATCTTCGTTCCCTCCCTCACCTATGGTCATGAGCTTTGGGTAATGACCGAAAGAACAAGATCGCGGATACAAGCGGTCAAAATGAGCTTCCTCCGCAGAGTGGCTGCTTCCTTAGAGATAGGGTGAGGAGCTCAGTCACACGGGAGGAGCTCGGAGTAGAGCCGCTGCTTCTTCACGTCGAGAGGAACCAGTTGAGGTGGCTCGGGCATCTGTTCCGGATGCCTCCTGGACGCCTCCCTGGGGAGGTGTTCGGGGCACGTCCCACCGGGAGGAGGCCCCGCGGAAGACCTAGGACACGCTGGAGGGACTATGTCTCTCAGCTGGCCTGGGAACGCCTTGGGGTCCCCCCGGACGAGCTGGAGGAAGTATGTGTGGATAGGGAAGTCTGGGCGTCTCTGCTTAGACTGCTGCCCCCGCGACCCGGCAGCGGATAAAGCGGAAGAAAATGGATGGATAGATGGATATTCTTCAACTATGAGAAAAAAAATGAGAATAAAAATCACTAGGGTTTCACGCTCTGTTGCTGGTATTTTGTCCCATTCCTCCATGCTAATCTCTAGAGCAATGATGTTTTGAGGCTGTCGAAAAAGGGAAACACCGACTTTCAATACCTCCCTGCATTATGGAGGAATGGGCCAAAATACCAGCCACATTGTGTAAAAAATCCCTTAGAAGACTTACAGTGAGCCCTCTTACAATAATCAATGGACTCTACTGGCCCCTGGAAAAGCCATGTTCCAGCTTCTTCCCTCTGGCACAAGACATCGTGCCGGACATGGGGTCTCCAGCCTGTAGCTCGCCACCCCCTTTTAGGCAGCTCCCCAAACATTTGGAGAATTTAAGATCCTGAATGATTCACTTTTGAGTCGTTACAAATCTATTTTACCCTCTAGTTTTTAGACTACAACCATATTACGACTGTTAAAAGGTTGCTCTCTGCCGTTTCTGTTTTATAGATAGATAGATGGGCGGCACGGTGGCTTAGTGGATAGCCCTCTCAGCAAGAAGGTTCTGGGTTCGAATCCCGGTCGGACCAGGGCCTTTCTGAGTGGAGTTTGCATGTTCTCCCCGTGTCTGCGTAGGTTTCCTCCGGGTACTCCGGTTTCCCCTACTACTAAAAATATGTACAATAGGTCTGGCATGCACCTCCTGTACTGGCGACCCCGCTCCCATCTCTGTGTGGAGTGAGAGACAAATGCCCAAAAAATAACAATTATAAACAGCTTTGTGACTCTGTCTGTGAAAGGCGGTATATAAATAAACATTACTTACTTACTTAGTAGATAGATAGATGGATACATAGATAGATACTTTATTGATGACCCTCATAGGAGAAATTCAGGTGTCCAGCAGCAGACGACTCATCCATGTCGGTTGTACAGTCTGACAGCCGAAGGAACAAGTATAAAAGTAGCTATTATAAGTGTAGCTCTCCAATAGAAACAGATTGGAGAACCTTGCCATATGTTAACAGCTTTAGGGCGACAGTGGCTCAGTTGGTAGAGCATTGGCCTTTGAGCCCGAAGGTCGTGAGTTTGAGCCCACCACAAGACCTTCTCCACTGACTCCCACTGATGTCTGCTGTCGTTGTAGCCTTGGGCAAGACACTTAACCCACTTTGACTATAAGGAATGAGGAAGTGATGATTGCTGCTTGCCTTGATGTGTATAATGTGTGTATATGCATCAAGCTGAAATGTCCCCATTGTGGGACGAATAAAAGCGGTTATCGATCTGAACAAAGCACTTAACCCTTGTGCTTTCCCCGTGTCAAATTGCCCCACCACCGTAATTAAAAATACTCTAAATATATATTTTTTTCTAACTTGACCAGCCCTGTGTCAGGCCCTTTTATATCCTAGTTTTGGGTGTTTTCTTCAACTTTTAATCACTGTGACAGCACAAAGGATCTTCCACTATTCATTCAAACTATTTTTGTTGATTGGTTTCTTGACAATTGTTTCTTGTACATTTTAGCTTGTTCCAATGTGGTTTTACTGCAAATGGGTCTGAACTTTTATCTGAAAGACAGTAGAATGTGATTTTCTGTATGTTTTTTGTCTCATTTTTAGCTTTTTTTATACACAATTTTGTCTGGTACACACTGGGATACATTTGCGCATGTATTCCAATGTGGTTTTACTGCAAATGGCAAATGGATCTGAATCTGAAAGACAGTAGAATGTGATTTTCTGTTTGTTTTTTGTCTCATTTTGTCTCTCATAGTTGAGGTTTACCTTTGACGAATTACAGACATCTCTCATCTTTTCGAAGTTGGAGGACTTGCACGATTTATGGCTGACAAAATACTTTTCTGAGGCAGTGAGTGAGAGTCCAGATGTAGAGAGTGAGTGTTCCCTGTGGCCTGGAGGTATAGGAGAGTTAAAAAAAAAAAAAAAAAGGAAAAAGCTGACTCACGGTCCAAACATGCACGCTTACTCCCTGGTATGTCATTACAGCTTTAGAGTTCACCCATATCGTGTTTAGGTCTATTCAAAGTCGAGTCTTTTCAGGCGCTCACCCACTCATTTTCCTAAATAAGAAGTGTGCTTTAAGTAGTGCCATAGTAACTGCAAAACCCCACCTTCGGCAACGTCTCTGTTGTCTGTTTGCGTGATTTAGGATTGGCACGAAGAAGTGAATGGACTTGTGTAGTGGTGGACAAATATTTCTCTATGTTCTTCGATATGACACGGTTTCCCAGCAGTGGGCCTCTTCGGATATGACCGTGAACACACAAAAACTCCTGCGGTCTTACATAACGCGCGGAGGAATGCTGGAGCGGGGCCTGGGCTTCTGGATCATCTCATTTGCACACAGACAGGGAGAAGGAGAGAGCACAGAGACAGGCTGGAGCGCTTCATGGAGAAAAAAACATGGCTTTATCTGTAATAAATTATAATTTCACAATACAAAAAAAGAGTTCCATGTGCTGCTTCATCCTCAGTCCACGTTGTTGGTTGTTAATATTTTAAAGTCTATGGTTTCAAGAGTGGTGGTTTGTTAGGGGTAAACATGAGGCGATGCTGAGAACTGTTATGACAACAACAAACAAAATGTACAAAATAACCTTCATAAAGCCGTGATAAATAACAATGAGAAAGGAAAGACTATGTTAAAGATGCAGTCAATGATTTTTTCCAGATTATTTTTTTTTAAATATTGTGGGAAAACGTCCCTAAACCCTAAAAGTAGTCAAGTAATCTGTGGTTTCGAGTTGGTGCTACGGCTAAGCTAACAACATCGCTAACTGCATCTTTAACACAAGGACTCCCAGTATTATGAAACTACTGGAATCCCTACAACTCCTAAACCAATGGAATTCTTAGAAAATCTCTCGTGTTTTGTTCTTCACCCAAAGTACTTTTTTTACTCGCATTTATTAAGCGCTAAATCTGTTTGAAATATTGTTAAAATGTTTGGCTAATGCTAACTGACGACAGTAAACAAATGTGTTGCTATGGTAACTAGCACTGGCTCTCTTCTCTGGTGGAAAAACACTGAACCAGACCCGGTCCAGAACCAGAACCAGACCCAGTCCAGGAAGAGACCCAGTCCAGGACCAGACCCAGTCCAGGACCAGACCCAGTCCAGCACCAGACCCAGTCCAGGACCAGACCCAGCACTTTGTAAAGTATAGGGCGTCCGCTGCCATGGAAAGTTGGTAATTGCCAGGCGACCGAAAATGCTTTTAAAGGGAGAACTAGACTCACCTAAATATAAAAATATATTGTCTGTGTGAATAATAACAGAGATAAACTACATGAAGAACTAGTCACAGTTAAACAGTTAAAACAAGTAAATATGTACAAAAGATGAGAAATGAGCCTAACATTAAAAGCTGGTGGGAGTTCTAGTGTTAAGTTTCCATTTGTCAAATCAAGATCAGACTTTTGTTCCCGTACTCAGCTGTAATTGCACTTTCATTCTGTAAGTTCTTTCTTTTTCTTTTCAGAGCAAGTGTCAATCAAACCCATCGGAGAACAAAAAAAGTCTAGTTGGATCAGGCGTAAGAAGCCACCACCGTCAGGATCCGAACGGACATTAAAATACAGGAGATCAGTCCGATACTGTAGGCGACGGAGCGGGTGGGGGCTTTGAGGGCGTAGAGGTAGGCCACACTGTGCACCACTCGGGCCAAGAAGAAAACCAGGAAGTGAAGGCGGGCGGCGAACAGCGAGGGTCCGGACAGGGCATACACGGCTCCGATGAACAGAAAGGGAAGGATGGTCTCCAGGTCGTTGGTGTGGGCCCTGAGGGAGAGGAGGAGGATTCAGTTGGTTTGCCATTTGCAGTAAAACCCCATTGGAATACTTGTGCAAAAGTGGTACAGTGTGGACCAGACAATAATGTGAATGTGAACAAGCTAAAAAAGTACAAGAAACAGACAGGGCAGACACAAACTGGCAACACAAAGACAAACAGATAGTTCCATACAAAGTACAGGATCTTTGTCATACAGGTAGATGAAGAACACACACACCCACAAGCTCACATGCACGTGTACACACACACACACACACACACACACACATATGCTCTCACACACACACACATGCAGTACGTTCACAGACACACACACACACATACAGTACGTTCACAGACACACACACACACATACAGTACGCTCACAGACACACACACAAACAAACACACACAGAGAGTACGCTCACAGACACACACACATACAGTACGCTAAGACACACACACACATACACTACGCTCACACACACACACACACACAAACACACACACCTCTCTTAGCCACCTAGCAAGTTCTGACAACTACTGTATCTCGTGCAACTTTCTAAATGGAAATGAGACAGAGGCGGGCTTCTGTCACATCTATCAGCTTCAGGAGAGGACCACCCACACTCGGCCAATCAGCTCTCAGCTCAACGTGTCAAATTTATTTAACTTATTTCACATAAATAATGTGTTTTCTAACCAATTTAATGTAGCATCTTTTGGTCTGAACGGCTCATAATTTAACTTTACAAGACCCATTTTTTTGTTGGTAAAAAACATGTATAATCTGTCTATACATTAAAATAGTCAGGTTTACGTCTATCTATACAATTAAAAAGCCAATTAAAAACACAACACATGGAACAAAACCAGCTATAACTGATACAAATGTGTAACTCTGCAGCCTTTATTAACAAAACAAAGTCATTCTCATCAAAAAGTATTAAACACAAACACAAAAAGGTGCAAAAAAGTATTTCTTATCTTATTCTTTTTTTACTCCACATTATTTCTACCAAGTGGAAGGGTTAGTGGATAATTTACCAAGGCACAACAAATAACATCCCAAGGCACACTAAAACACCACGGCACACTGGTTGAAAAGCACTGAATTTTGCAGCCAGACTCAGGTACCCCAGCTTTACGTCTATCTACTGTATACAGCCAGATTTAGGTATCTCAGCTTTACGTCTATTTATCTAAACAATTAAACAGCTAGATTCAGGTCCCCCAGCTTTAGTCTATCTATACAGTCAGATTCAGGTCCCCAAGCTTTACGCATGGGTTTTCCAGCGGTCTTTTTGGGTCACTCACCTCCGCGCCCTCTCCACATCTGGGTCTTGTCTGTGAAACTGGAGACCTCCGTGTCTGAGCGCGTCTTCTGGATTCGCAAAAGCCTGAAACAGATTTTAAAAGTTTAGTTTCCTGCGTTTGTTTATTTATGTATTTATCTTACAACACCATATTCTTGTTATTGGACAAAAACGCGATAGCTCACCTTTCTGCGCAGCCTCAGTTGTCCCACTATAATGGCAATAACGTACATTTTCAGAAGCAGAAGCACCGCGTAAAAAGCAAAACAGGAGAAAACCTCGTGGTCTAAAAGTGGTTCCATCGTGGTCCAGGATCAGAGATGGTCCAGAGATGGTCCGGAGTCTGAATGACGCGTGCGCTGCGCTCTGTGCACTTTTAAAGCGCAAAACCCATGGATCTATGTGAGACAGAACCCCGCCCACCTCCAGGGTCTGCAGTCTGGGACACTAGAGGAGCACAGGGACTGGACTCCTATTCTAGAGGAGCACAGGGACTGGATGGACTCCTGCTGGGATTCTAGAGGAGCACAGGGACTGGACTCCAGCTGTGACTCCTACTGGGACTCGAGGAGCACAGGGACTGGACATCTGCTGTGATTCTAGAGGAGCACAGGCACTGGACTCTTGATGGGATTCTAGAGGAGTACAGGGACTGGACTCTTGATGGGATTCTAGAGGAGTACAGGGACTGGACTCTTGATGGGATTCTAGAGGAGTACAGGGACTGGACTCTTGCTGGCACTCTGAGGAGCACAGGGACTGGACTCTTGCTGGGATTCTAGAGGAGTACAGGGACTGGACTCTTGCTGGCACTCTGAGGAGCACAGGGACTGGACTCTTGATGGGATTCTAGAGGAGCACAGGGACTGGACTCTTGCTGGCACTCTGAGGAGCACAGGGACTGGACTCTTGCTGGCACTCTGAGGAGCACAGGGACTGGATTCCTTCTGGTACTCTGATCTATTTTTGGCAAATCGACAACTTTGTAAAGTCCTCCAAGTTGACAGCTGATGTGATTTAGAGCTCTAAAAAAAATAATAATTTCATTGAGAAAATGTAGGAAAACTTCCCACAAACGTTTTTCCTACATTTCTCAAGATCTTTTTCATATATTTACTCATTATAGTCGTCCTCTTTCTTAAAGGTTCACGACTTCACATAATTTCTATAAATAAGAAAAATGTGAAAACCGGAAAAGGTAGATCATTCCATTTAGTTCAGTGATGTCACATGTTGATTCTACAAACTGTACAACACTAGAGTACTGGTAAAACACAGGCTGGATCCTGGTACAATATGGGTTTCAAAACAAGGAGTAAGTTTCCGATGCAGTTTGACATATTGCTCAATCGTCATTACGAATCCACATTAGTCAAGTTGGTTATTCATTACTTTTGATTCAACGGGAAATCCACATTTTAGGATCCATGATTTCATGTTTGTTGCAGCATGTCTGTTGTCAGTCATCGGCCGCCTTTGATCAGCTATGAGTCTCTCCCAGAGTTGGAATTAGGACAGTGGTGGGCAAACCCCGGCCCGTGGGCCAGATGCAGCCCTTTGGATGCTTCTATCAGGCCCCTGAAGCCTCCTCAATTTATATAGATTAAGATTAAGATCAAGAGAGATTAGGAATAAGAACATTTATTCATCCCACAGTGGGCTAATTTCAGTTTAAACATCACACAATCCCCCTCTGTGCTGTGTGCAGAGCTATTTTTTCATATAAGCAATACATTTATGTTTTAAAATGAAGCCTGAGAAGACAGAGGGCTGTCGGGATCTGGACCTAATTTCCAATGTGGCCCTCAGGAGGAAAGGTTTGCCCATGTCTGATCTAGGATGACAAAGAGGTCTGTGGTATGGAACAAATGAATCCACAAATCCAAGACAAGATGAATAGATAGATAGATACTTTATTGATCCCTGTAGGAGAAATTCAGGTGCCCAGTAGCAGCAAAAATAAAACATAAAATTGATCATTCAAAAAAAGCTAACAATAGTAATCCACAACAGCCTTTCAGGTCACAGAAGCAGAGGTGGAGTAGCCTCTGGGTGGAGCAGGACAGGTCACAAGGTGGAGTAGCCGCTTTGTTTGGACCATTTTCTCTGCTCTAGTCCAAAGTAAAATGCTAAATGCTTCATTAGCATTTTTCAAAAAGTTAGCATTCCTCCAGTGGATTTTCACCTGATCCACTTGGTTCGAACCATGAATCCTCTCTGCTCCGGTCTGGACCAGTGCAAAACCATGAACACTGTACTGCAGCAACATCTCAAGCAGAAAAAAGCAATACAAATAAAAATTGTAAAGCACAAAACAACCGTTTCAGAGCTACTTAGGACTTGCAGCCGTTTTCCAGCGCATTCAAAAGAAGGAATAACTAGAAGGAGAAAACTATATGGTCTGTACAAGTTACTGAAGGTACAATATAAGGTACAAAACTCGGAATAATGTAAACAACTTTATAGTCCTCAACAATTATGTGTGTTCCATGGATCTATAATAATAACTGGATAGGGTATTTCTAGCTTATAGCTGTCCCACCCACGGGCACAGGGGGCGCCCGTGGTACTGCAGACTAAATTCACGAGGGCTACCCAGAAAAAAGTTCTATAGAACTCAATGTAAACTAAAACAGCTCAACCTCAGCTGACAGAGAACCTACAGCTTTCATAAAGATCGAATTTTGTGGAGATTTTAGAGTCCTTTGTCATCTTAAACTTTTGGTTGTTGTTAAATCCTTCTTCCCGCTGTAACTCCTCTCTGATCTAGGACCTGTAAGCTAAATGCTAGGACCTGTAAGCTAAATGCTAGGACCTGTAAGCTAAATGCTAGGACCTGTAAGCTAAATGCTAGGACCTGTAAGCTAAATGCTAGGACCTGTAAGCTAAATGCTAGGACATCTAAGCTAAATGCTAGGACCTGTAAGCTAAATGCTAGGACCTGTAAGCTAAATGCTAGGACCTGTAAGCTAAATGCTAGGACATCTAAGCTAAATGCTAGGACCTGTAAGCTAAATGCTAGGACCTGTAAGCTAAATGCTAGGACCTGTAAGCTAAATGCTAGGACATCTAAGCTAAATGCTAGGACCTGTAAGCTAAATGCTAGGACATCTAAGCTAAATGCTAGGACCTGTAAGCTAAATGCTAGGACCTGTAAGCTAAATGCTAGGACATCTAAGCTAAATGCTAGGACCTGTAAGCTAAATGCTAGGACCTGTAAGCTAAATGCTAGGACCTGTAAGCTAAATGCTAGGACATCTAAGCTAAATGCTAGGACCTGTAAGCTAAATGCTAGGACATCTAAGCTAAATGCTAGGACCTGTAAGCTAAATGCTAGGACATCTAAGCTAAATGCTAGGACCTGTAAGCTAAATGCTAGGACCTGTAAGCTAAATGCTAGGACCTGTAAGCTAAATGCTTGGACCTGTAAGCTAAATGCTAGGACCTGTAAGCTAAATGCTAGGACCTGTAAGCTAAATGCTTGGACCTCTAAGCTAAATGCTAGGACATCTAAGCTAAATGCTAGGACCTGTAAGCTAAATGCTAGGACATCTAAGCTAAATGCTAGGACCTGTAAGCTAAATGCTAGGACCTGTAAGCTAAATGCTAGGACCTGTAAGCTAAATGCTAGGACATCTAAGCTAAATGCTAGGACCTGTAAGCTAAATTCTAGGACCTGTAAGCTAAATGCTAGGACCTGTAAGCTAAATTCTAGGACCTGTAAGCTAAATGCTAGGACCTGTAAGCTAAATGCTAGGACCTGTAAGCTAAATTCTAGGACCTGTAAGCTAAATGCTAGGACCTGTAAGCTAAATGCTAGGACCTGTAAGCTAAATGCTAGGACCTGTAAGCTAAATGCTAGGACCTGTAAGCTAAATGCTAGGACCTGTAAGCTAAATGCTAGGACCTGTAAGCTAAATGCTAGGACATCTAAGCTAAATGCTTGGACCTGTAAGCTAAATGCTTGGACCTGTAAGCTAAATGCTAGGACCTGTAAGCTAAATTCTAGGACCTGTAAGCTAAATGCTAGGACATCTAAGCTAAATGCTAGGACCTGTAAGCTAAATGCTAGGACCTGTAAGCTAAATGCTAGGACCTGTAAGCTAAATGCTAGGACATCTAAGCTAAATGCTAGGACCTGTAAGCTAAATGCTAGGACCTGTAAGCTAAATGCTAGGACCTGTAAGCTAAATGCTAGGACATCTAAGCTAAATGCTAGGACCTGTAAGCTAAATGCTAGGACCTGTAAGCTAAATGCTAGGACCTGTAAGCTAAATGCTAGGACATCTAAGCTAAATGCTAGGACCTGTAAGCTAAATGCTAGGACCTGTAAGCTAAATGCTAGGACCTGTAAGCTAAATGCTAGGACATCTAAGCTAAATGCTAGGACCTGTAAGCTAAATGCTAGGACCTGTAAGCTAAATGCTAGGACCTGTAAGCTAAATGCTAGGACCTGTAAGCTAAATGCTTGGACCTGTAAGCTAAATGCTTGGACCTGTAAGCTAAATGCTAGGACCTGTAAGCTAAATGCTAGGACCTGTAAGCTAAATGCTAGGACCTGTAAGCTAAATGCTAGGACCTGTAAGCTAAATGCTAGGACCTGTAAGCTAAATGCTAGGACCTGTAAGCTAAATGCTAGGACCTGTAAGCTAAATGCTAGGCAGAATCGAGACAGAATCACCAACACAGACTTCACTTGAACATAGTTAGAATAGAGACACACATAAAAGTCTCGCACTTTCAGGGAGACTGTTCCAGAGTTTACCTGCATAAACCTGACAGACAGACTAAGAAATGGATCTGTAGGAATAAACATCAAAGGTTAAACAACAGTTAAAGGTCACGGCCTGGAGTCTTCCTCGTCTCAAACAGCTGCTGCTGCAGACACTTATTGTAAATATTTAGTCGAGTCAGAACCATAACTTTTCAAATACACGGAGAATAGATGTAGCAACGGCACCATAACAAACTATAGGATTAATGACCTCCATCCATTCATCCATCTTCTTCCGCTTTATCTGTTGCCAGGTCATGGGGGAAGCAGTCTCAGATCAAAAAGGAGAAAGTTTAGATCAGGAATGTCAAAATCAAATACATCAGAGCACCAAAAAAACAAATTATAATACGAGCCCAGGGCCGGACGGGTTCAATGTTGGTTCAATGTGTCTGTGCAAGAATATAACACGTACTGGAACACACTGAGAAGAGTTTTTTATGACTAGTAATTCTATAA